GAGCCCCCTACATCCATGCCCTCTCCCCGGGACGCCGCCCAACTCCCTCCCTCCGACCCCCTCCCCTGGGGCTCCGCCCACAACCCCTCACCCCGCGAACTCCCTCCCTCCCTCCCTCCGCCTCCCCCGTCCCTCTTCCGCACCCTCTGGCGCGATCCTCCAGGACTCTGGGCCTCACCTTCACCCGTTCCAGCTGCTTGAGGACGTGCTCCCGCCGACGACCCGCTGCCCGCTTCCCCCCGGCGCCCCCAGGGCCGCCACCGCCGCTCCCAGCCCCGCTGTTCCGCTCCGATTTCGAGCTGGGCGCCATTTTCATCCCCTCCCTCCACTTCCGGAGCAACCGGCCTCTTCGCTCCTCCCCCGCCGCCTCCTCATTGGCCCTTTCACGGGATTGCGGCCCGCCGGTTGGGTGTGAGTCCGAATTCGGGGCCTCGTCCCTCTATCCGTGTCCATCACAGCTACCTCGGCCCTTGATTGGTAGAAACAGTACGGCCTCCGCGGTTGTCTACATATTCCCGCCTTCCCTCAAGTAAGACACCAGAGGCCCCGTTTGCGCCTCAAACCAAGATGACTTGGGGACCCGATAGGCGCAAGCCCCTGCCTGTCTTGATGATGTCACTCCCCTCTGTGGCTGGTGGGTTTCTATAGAGACCACGGCGGTTTAGGCCGGTGGGCGGGGCACATAGAGCTTGTGGTCCAGAAGGGCCTGAATCCCCAGCCTAGAGACATCAGCGGGGAGGTCTGGTGAACACGCAAGGGCCACCAGGCAGACGGAGGAAAAGGATATGGAAAAAAGGGAGGTGGTTCGATTAAAACATTTTTAGATGAGGGCCGGCCTAGTGGGATGATGATGATGATAGTGAAGCATCAATCGCTTACATAGTGGTTTATATGTGCCAGACAGTTTTGAGTTTACAACAATTCTCTATAGTAGCTGTTATGCCCATTTTACACATGATAGTAATCATAATAATTGTTGCATGTCTGCTGTGAGCATCACCTGCGTGTGTGCTAGCTCATTTAATCTTTGCAAAAGTTTTGGAGCTTGGCCCTTTTATATCTTCATTTTACACATGATGAAACCAAAGCTTACAGTGTAGTGCCCCTGGCTACCTGGCACATGTATACATACCTCAGATGTAAGCTATTGTGACTATAATCTAATCCTTATTCTTTTAGCCTCGATTTCATTTACTTAACAAGTAATTTATTGAGCGCCTACGGTGTTCTAAATGTTGTGGATACAGCAGTGAACAAGACAGATGATAAAGAAATAAATTTCTCTCATTCCATGTTAGAAGGAAGAAGGCTACTTAGAGCACAGAGGGGCCCTGAGAAGGTGAGGAGGAGGAATATTCCAACAAAGACAATAGTTTCAGGGGAGTGAAGGTGTCGTAATAGACCAGAGACGCGACAAGGCCAGCTGGGCCAGACTAGGAATGAGCAGGGAAAATGGACAAGGACCAGGAAGCAAGTAATAAGTGTATGGGGCTTGTAGGTAAGCAAGGCATTTGGATTTTACTCTTAAATATAAAGGGAAGCCTCTGGAAGGTTTTTAGTAGAAGATGATGGAATGTGACATGAAGTTTAAAGGAATATGTGATTCAAAGAATTAAGTAAATACCCACGAATTCATACAGTATAAATTATTGAATAAATAAATGTTGGGGGGAGGACCGCTCTTTCTTAAAGAAGATGTCCAATTAATAAAGACACTTGGGCAGACCACTGTGTTCTATTCTAGCTGTCTGCCTGGGGTTGGGGTGAAGTGGAGGGAGGGAGGGCTGACAACAAGGTGCAAGGACATATTGGGGGTCAGGGAAATGTTCACCATCATAACTATGGTGATGGCTTTGCTGGTGCATACATGTGGAATTTTGGAATGATGAATTTAGACTAATTTAAGTATCAAATATTTTACTATAATAAATATTGAATATTTTCATTTTATTATATGTTATATAACCTCAGTCAATTTTTTTTATTCAACAGACACACAAGAATACATGGTAGCAAGCCCCACTGTGCACTCAGCCCCGGCCACCCAGCTCTTCCCCCAGAAACAGCCAATATCTTTTTTAATTTATGAAAATGATCAAAATTGTTAGCCCCACTCTAATTTTTTTCTCACAAGATTAGGTCTACTCACATCTACTCCTATTGAGGTTTGAATGGTGACCCACAAAGACCTGCTGCTGTCCTAATCCCCAAAACATGTAGATACAACCTTATTTGGGGAAAAAAAAAGACGTAATTAAATTAAAGATTTTTAAAATAATTTTATTTAGTTATTTTTCAAGTACAATTTTTTGTCTATTTCTCCCATCCCATCCCCCCCGCCCCCTGTAAATTAAAGATCTTGAAATGACATTATCCTGGATTAACCACTGGGGCCCTAAATCCAATGAACAGTGTCCTTAGAAGAGGGAAAACAAAGACAGAGACATACACACACACACAGGAAAAGTCCATGTGAAAACTGAGGCAGAGTTTGAAGTAACACAGAGACAAGCCCAGGAATGTCCCGTGTTGCCAGCAGCCCCCAGAAACCAGAAGAGAAGCAAGGAAGGCACTTCCAGGAAGAACCAACTCTGCTAACGCTCTGATTTTGGACTTCTAGCCTTCACAATCCAAAAAGATTATTTAAGCTTCTGAAATAAATACATTTCTGCTATTTTAAACCACCTAATTTGTGGTCATTTATTACAACAGCCCCAGGAAACTAATGCAATATATGTAGACTGAATTTCTTGTGTAGATCTAATTCTCCGTTATTTTAATCTATTTTGTAAAAATCTATTCCCCTCTTATGGGATTTTTTTTATTGGCTTACTCAACACATGTTCGTTGATCATAAAATGAAGTTGTGAGCCATGTGGGGTGCAGGAAAGGGAGAATTTTTCACTCTACTAAATGAGGTTGCTGGGAACATCCTTGTACATATCTGTTGGAGGCTGTGTAAACGTTCTTCCAGGAAACTAGATTGCTGGTTCTTGGGTGTCACAGAGGGAGTGATACTCCAAATATTCCACTGGTTCCTCCCAAACCCCATCCCATCACTTCTCCATCCCTTGCTGTCAGGCAGGACCATGTGTCTACTCCTGGCCGATGAAATGGCAGCAGAAGGTTTGTGTGGGGCTTCTAGTTGGAAAAACTGAGAACCTGACTTGGGAGTCTCCTCTATCTCCTCTACTGCACCAGCAGTTGTGGAGGCTGCTGCAGTCTCTGTCAAACTAGGTGACTATGCGGCTCAGAAACCCTCCTGACTGCTTGGGATTGTATCATGTGGATGACCAACTGTAGTATTAGTCACTGACCCTTGAGGTCGTATGTTGTGCAGAATGATCTTGCCTGCCTAACACACATATGAAACAGATCCAGTAAGATATATACAGATGGTCGCTGACATATGGTAGTTCAACCTATGATTTTTCAACTTCATGATGGATGGTATGAAAGTGATACACATTCAGTAGAAATCACATTCAGATTTGAATTGTGATCTTTTCCTGGGCTGGTGACGTGTGGCACAACACTCTCTTGTGATGCCCAGCAGTGCCAGTGAGAGGATTGTGCCCAACTGCAGGCCAATGTAAACATTCTGAGCATGTTCAGGGTAGGCTAGGTAAAGCTATGATGTTTTGCAGGTTAGGTGTATTAAATGCATTTTGCCTTATAATATTTTCAACTTCTGATGAGTTTAGTGCAATGTACTCTATCCCACAATCATGTGTGCAAGCTGGAACCCCAGGGAAGCTGGTGGCGTAATTCCAGTTTGAGCCTGAAGGCCTAAGGATCAGGGGAGCCAATAGCATAAATCCCAGTCTGAAGGCAGGAGAAAATCAGTGTCCCAGCTCAGTGGGCTCAGAGACAAAGGAGTGAATTGCTCCTTCCTCCACCTTTTGTTCTTTTCAGGCTCTCGATGGATTGGATGATTTCCTCCACATTGAGGAGGACAGTCTACTGAATCTGTCGATTCAAATGTTAATCCTGAAACAATCAGACACACCCAAAAATCATGGTTAATCTGGTCCCTCTGTGACCCAGTATAATTTTGCAATATAATTTTATATTTGACCTATACAATTAAACATCCCAAGTACATGGCAGGAGCATTTTCAGTTTTACCATACTTTTCAGGCTTTTTATCTCTTTCTGACCCTCCATCTCCATGGCCGAGGCCTGTTTTTCTCCACCCGCTCCTTGAGCATCAGCCCTCCCCAGGGGTCTGTCTTCGTTTCCTTTTCTTTTCATTCTATCCTTTCTCCTTGACAGACATCATCCATTCTGTGGCTTCAACTCTTCCTCTGTGGCTATTCCTTGTATCTGTTATAATTAGAATCATGTTTTTTGTTTTGTTTTGTTTTGTTTTGTTTTGTTTTGTTTTGTTTTGAAAGGAGCAAGAAGAGATGAAATAAAAGAGAAATAGTGGCTTAAACAGGAGAGGTGTCAGATCAGATTTCTCTCATGTCTATGATGAACAGAGTGAGTTGCATTGAAAGGCCTACAATTCTGGCTGCTTTGAGGTTTATAGAGCCCCAACGCTCTTGTCATTAGTTTCCCTACTTTTGTCAGTAGTTCCCCTCCACCCCATGGGAGTCTCCCCACATGGCTAGTTCCTCTATCATCCAGACCAGCTGCACCCAATCTGGTCCTCAACCTAATGGATTTAACCTCTCTGCCAACCTAAGAAATTATCCTAAAGAACCAATCACATTCTGCACTGGGAACCAGAGGTCACCACTCTTTTGTCATGACAAAGCTTGCCTCCCACAGTCCCTGCTTCTTGACTCTGCTTCAGAATGTACCACCCACATGTGCCTTTGCACGTGTGCAGGGTTCTCTTCTGAGGTTTAAGTATATGTGACTAATAAACTGACACCTATCTCTTCTATCCAGTGTTAGGTGTCATGTGTTTGGCCATCTTGAACTATTTAGGGCATATGATTCCCTCCTTCACCAACGGGGTAAATAGGTAGTGATCAAAACACTGTCCAAGGATGGCACAGCCTTCCAAGGTATGTGAGACTCAGGTTGCTTCTATGATGTTGCTACACCATTCAAGGCCTTTATTCTCAAGTTGATGTCATAGCCCAAAATGGCTGATGGAGTTCCAGCTATCACATCTAAGTTCCAACAGTAGGAAAGATAAAGACACCCCATTTTCCTCAAAGGTGTATATACTACTTCTGCTTACATCCTGCATATAACTACAAGGAAGGCTGGGAGGTGTAGTTTTTTATTCCAGGCAGCCTATGCTCAGCTAAATATCAGTGATTTTATGGATTGGGTCCAGATCCTGAAAGCCTGCGTCTTGAGGTTGGATGCTATCAGAGAATGAGAAGGGGTGGGCCCAAGGTCAGCCTTAAAGCCATTAACCGGTTCTGAATTAAGACCCCTCCTTTTCTAATTGGAAAATTACTCTTCCCATCAACCTTTTCCTCCCACATCAACCACACTCTCTTCGCCCACAGCAACCAAAATGAGACCAGATTCCTGCAATAGCTGCTCACATCATTACTGCAGCTGTCCCTTGTCCCCCTGACTCTACAGTCCTTCCTCCTCTGAGATCAGAGCCTCAGAGTAACTGAGAGACCCCAACACTCCCTTCCCACGCAAACCTTTCCACATTTAGGACAATTCTTCTTGCACTCCATAAAGGTGTACTAAATGTCGATTGTGCCAGGATCAACACTGGTTAGCCACACTCCACCTCTGTCCCTACAGAACTCCCTGCTTGGCTGGACGAGGCAGGATAGGGAAGGACACCACTGGGCTGGACTGGGAAGAGGTAGGGTGGGCTGGGTAAAGAAAGGAAAGGGAGTTTCTTGCAGAGAGCTAAGGCCATTTATAAGACTGGTGGTTAGGTTCCTAGCCGATCAGTACATTCTATCCCTCTGGCCACCGAGATTGGCTCCATATGAACATGTGACCAAAGCTAGGCCAATGAGATTCAAGCTTGGGGCTTTCCTCTGGACTACAGCTGGAGTTATCCTGGCACTACACTGAGAAGCCTGCTGGTAGAACAGAGACGTAGAGAGAAAACCGGTTGTAGGATGTCACTTAAGCTGCTGGATTCAGCTATACCTGAAGAACACATCTCCCAATATTTTATTCATGAGTCAATAAATGCTATTGTTTGCATTCGTTTGTTTGGTTTGGGTTCTCCATACTTTGCAACTGAAGGAGGCCTGCCAGAAACTCAAACAGCTTGGCTATCATTCTGCTTCCCTGGCACTAGGATCTGTGCAGTAGTAGCAAAGTATCTCACTGGGACTGGCCCCCTTACTCTGCTACACAATGTCCAAACTAGTGGCCATCAGTACCACACGGAGAACTCAGGGTGGGGCTTATTGTTCTCTTTTGACCAAGGTTAAGACTGGTCTCCTGCCCCCCAGCCCTGAGGGGCTCTGAGGGCCCCCCTCACAAGGCTGCACAATCCTGGGAAATGTGGGCAAATGACTACCTCTTTGGGGCCAAGTTTCCACCCCTGTGGAAGGGAGATTAATAAATAATACAGATAGCCTCTCTCTCCACCATTCTCCCATATCTCGCTCCCTTCTAACAGCCCACCCGATGCACCTCACTGATGCCATTCCCCTGCTGTCTGTACCCCATAGCCACCCATAGCAGGGGTTACCTGGGCTCTTCCATGCCCCCTGGGCCTCACCATCAGGTAGCTAGGTATATCTCTTTAGAACTAGAGCCTGCTCATTTCAAAGTACAGTAGAGTTCAGGCCCCTTGGGGGCGGCCCTCCATCAGTGACCAATGGAGTGAGCTACAGGATCGATATCCCCACTCCCTTGCCCTTCAGGTGAATGACTCTTAGGTGTGTGTCCTACACAATCTCCTAGTGCTTCGCGGCATGACGGAGCCCCGGTGGCCTATGGCAGGGACTTGCTTGATAGCAAGAGCAACCAATCACCCAAATTTGTCCAGACTAAGGGTTTTCTGGGAAACAGGATTTTGAATGCTAAGACAGGCAAGATCCAGGCAAGTTGATAACCCCAGTGATAACTTGTTGGTTATTGACTGCTTGCTCCCTTCCTTCCTTCTGTCACCTCCCCACTTCCCTGCAGCTTCTTTCTCCAACACAAAATGCACTCAGTCCTTGTCTCAAGGGCTGTTTCCAAGGGATCCTGACCCCTTCATGCCCTTCATGCAGCCCATCCTCTCAGCCACTGAGCATTTGTGAGAGTCAGATGTGGTCTTAGAACGTCCTGTCTGCTACTGGTTTTGCCTTGTGGCAACTCTTTGAGGAATGGTCTTTTGTCATCCCCATTTCATGTGTGGGAAAGCTGAGGTTGGGGTAGGAAAACGATTTGTCTGAAGTCACCCCACGAGTAAGTGGCATGTCTCAGGGACAGATTGGTGGCAAAATGGCACCAGAGTGTTGTTAGCGATTGAACCTCTCTTCTGCAACCTCAGTACTTGAGCGCTGGCTAAGAAAGAATTCAGAGCCAAGAGTCAAATACAAGCAAAAATTTTTTAGAAAGTCACCAATATAGTAGAAGTAAACCATGGAAGAAGCAAGCCAGCTGGGCTGTGTGGGCCCAGGAGACAAGTTACAGAGGCAAAATGTGGGCCCGTGGAACTGAGGAGTAAAAGAGCAAGGATATGCATGCCTGGGGTAAGGAGAGGAGGAAAGGCGTAGGTGTGCTCTAGAGAGAGAGGACAGGAGAGAGAGCCAGGCTGGGTCCTCCTTCCTGTGGGACTTTTATCCCCTCTCTAAAGTTCGGGGATCTTAGGGGAGGTCCCAGGGGGAGGATCCCAATAGAATATTCATTAGCTTTTCCAGGTGTGTCCTTTCAGGGTCGTGGTCTCTACTGATTGGTCAGCACTAGGGAAGGGAGCCATCAGTAGACTGCATTGGGGCTGATCCATCAGCTACGGTGCTGTTTCCCCACCCTGGACATGCTGTGCTTTTCCAGGCCAGGAGCTGAGACAGAACTGACGCCTAGATGTTATCCCCAGGGATGAATGCTTAAGGGAGTGGTTGTGCGAGGGCCCACATGGGAGTCAAATGCGGCTACTCTTTGGCCTCTTGTTCCTCCTCTAAGGGGGAACCACATGACTAGTGAGTGACAAGCCAGGGGAGGAAAGGCCAGGGGAGAGTCCGACCAGCAACATGCTAGGGGAGGAAAGATTACCCTGGGGGTGAGGTCCTTGTTTTTCCAGTTTTGTGCATTGCTAGGCACCCAGGACTTTCTGCCCTGGAGACTTTCTGTACCTGGCCCCTTGTCCTTCCTCTGCCTCTGGCTCTCTGTCCACCACAAGGCTAGGGGCAGAGACTGGTTTCCTCACCTGGTGGCACACACTGCAGCTCTGTCATCGAGGGCCTGGGATGTGTCGGGTATTGTCTTCCCACTTCTCAGGCATTACCTGATTTAATCCTCACACCCATCCTGGGAGGTGAGACAGACAACCTTTTCCTCATTTTGCAGAGTGGAAAAACGAGGCCCAGAGAGGTGGCTGAGTCTAGGTTCAAGCCCAGGCAGGCTGGCACCAAGTGCACATCCTTAAACGCCAGGCTGTTGCCTCCATATGTGTAATTTCCTTTCAGGCGGCAGCTTTGGCTATTTGGGGGGGCTGGCTGCCATTGAGGCCAGCTGGTGGAGGGAGGAGGGTCCCAGAGAGCAGACCTGGCTGAGAGCCTTCAGGTTGGTGTCTGGGCTGGCATGCTGAGCACAGGCTGCGCACAGGCCTGCCCTGACCCCTCGCTGCCAACCTCAGTTCCTTGGGGACCATCCAGCAAGCTAAAGCATCCCCCACTCCTCTGCCTCCACTCCTACTCCTGCGGTCGGCCCAAATACCATACAGGGTGAATCTCAGCTTTCCCCCAAACATTCCTTGCTCCTGTGGCCTGGCCCAGGCTGGCTTAGGTTACGCAAGCAGAACTGGGGGGGTTGGGGTGGGGGACCAAGGGGACAGGCTAGCCTTCCTTCACAACCCCACCCACCAGCCCACCCACCCTTCCCAAGGCAGGCAAGGGGGTGGGCCAGCTCTCTTGAGTCCCTGGGGGAACAGGCTGCAGGGAGGGTGTCCTGTGCCAAGAGATGGGGATCAGTGGCGGCCAAGACAGAGGCTCCAGGAGGTGACCGTCTGGTTTCCATTAGGAAGTCCTGGTCGGCAGTTCGGGCAAGACAGCTGAACTGGGGCTGGCTATGGTGAGGTGGGGTTGGGGAAGGTATGAGGGTACCAGCCCCTACACCCCCTGGGGGATGTTCCTGTCATCCTGGTGACCCCCTGACAAACCTGGCGCCACCCTGATCTGTCTTCCACTCCCAGCTGCTGAGCCTGCTGCTGCTGCTCCTGCTGCTGCTGGGCCCCCCAACCACCGCAGGCATGGAGGACCCGACTTTCCCCCACCTGGGGGAGAGCTCGCAGCCCCCACCCCGGGCCTGCCCCCCACGCTGTTCCTGCCCCCGAGCTGACACAGTGGACTGTGATGGCCTGGACCTGAGGGTGTTCCCCCACAACATCACCAAGGACGCTCAGCAACTCTCCCTGCAGGTGAGGAGGGGGACATTGCAGGGGTAGGGTGAAGCGGGGTAAGCATGGGAAGTGCTGGAATTGAGAGCAACGGGTGTGGGGTCCATGTGCATTGGGCGTGTGGGTCTTGGCACTGATGGAAATTGGTCTTGACAAGCGTTGGAGGTGGGGGAACAGCTATTGGATGTGGGAGGGACTGAGGTTGTGGGGATGTAGGGGGTTAACATCTTGGCAGTTATGGGGTTGTCTGGGCTAAAGGTGATGAGTGTCAGAAGTCAACCGAAGGGGTGGATGGGGTGTTGGAGCTCAGTGTATTTTTGATGAAGGGGTGGGAGGTATTTGGGATCAGTTACGGAGGTAATGGGGTGTTGGGGCTCTCAGCATGATGAGGAGCTGAGAATGAGGGCTGGGGGCTCTTGTTGAGGGCTCAGGGTCATCTGAGTCAGGGGTGTGAATGCCCCCCCAGAACAACCAGCTCCAGGAGCTCCCCTACAACGAGCTGTCCCGCCTCAGCAGTCTCCGAACCCTCAATCTGCACAACAACCGCATCTCCTCAGAGGGTGAGGGGCCACAGAAGGCTGCCCCTCCCTGGCTTGGTCCCAGCAGCCCTCTCCCTCCCCTGTGCTGGGTCTGTGGGCAGCTCTGTGGCAGTTCCCAGAACTGCCCTTTGCTGAGCAGGATGGAAACTCACAGGATGGGGGAAGGGGGGCTGTGGCTTTTGTGGACTGGGAGGGGGGTGCCTGGAAGAGTCTCTGCCAGTCTTTGGCCAGGAGCCTGGGGGCAGCTGGGAGCACAGACGCCCCCTGCCCCCTGCTAGGCCTGGGGTCCCCTCAATGCCTGCCCCGCTCCCAGGCCTGCCCGACGAGGCCTTTGAGTCCCTCACCCAGCTGCAGCACATCTACGTGGCCCACAACAAGGTGAGCTCCCACCAACCCCCACCCCACCCACCCCAGCCAGGTCACACAGCACAGAGTGCAGAGGGGACAGCATGGGGCTGGAAGGTGCCACCAGGACCAGCGCACTGTGCTCCTGCAGCTCTCGGTGGCCCCCCAGTTTCTGCCTCGTTCCCTCCGAGTAGCGGATTTGGCTGCCAACCAAGTGACGGAGATCTTCCCACTCACCTTTGGGGAAAAGCCTGAGCTCAGGTAGCCCCTGCCCGGCCCAGCCCCAGGCCTCAGGTCACTCCCCACCGTGGGTCTGAGGGAGGTCATAAACCTGCCCTGGGTGGTCGGGGGGTACAGGACCCTGGATGCTCTGTCTGGAGAACAATGCATGAACACACACACAATGAAGGCACCCCTTAGCTGGGGTGCAAAGGGAGTGGTGGGGAGCCCAGGGGCGGGCTGGCGGCTGGAGTCTGCCCCTGGGCTCCCCTTAGGTCCGTGTACCTCCACAACAACCAGCTGAGCAACGCTGGCCTGCCCCCCGATGCCTTTCATGGCTCTGAGGCCATCACCACCCTCAGCCTCTCCAACAACCAGCTCAGCTACCTGCCACCCAGCCTGCCACCCTCTCTGGAGCGGCTCCACCTGCAGGTGCCACTCCTCCCCTCACTGCCTACCTGGCCCCCTTCACCTCTCTCCTGGGAGACCCCTCTGCCTCCTCGGAATTCCAGCAGTCAGAAACATCTTTCTGAGTTTCTACCACCAGCACAAGCCAGTCACAAGTACTCTCTGAGCAGGCTTGCTAGAGCCAGCTGGTCTATCTCTCCCTTATTCAAGAGCCTTCGATGGCCCTCCACTGCTCTCTATCCTGGACCCTGGGTGTCATTCTCTCCTCCCTTCCCAGAACAACCTCATCTCCAAGGTACCCAGAGGAGCTCTGAGCCGCCAGACACACCTCCGTGAGCTCTACCTCCAACACAACCAGCTGACGGACAGTGGCCTGGATGCCACCACCTTCAGGTGGGGACTGGGACAGGGTGGGATGGGGTGTAGCCTCATGTTGGCAATAGGGGCTGAGGATTTTGGGTCTGGGGCCCCCACACTTTGTCCCCCTCCTCAGTATCACTCGTAACCCACAGATTCATTTGGTGAGCACCTACTGTGTGCCAGGCTTGGCCTAGCACCTGGCAGCCATCCTTACTCCCAGCTACCTTGTTCAGTCATCTTGTTATCCAATATTACAGCTGTCATCTATATATCTGGACCCAGAACTCTGTCCTGGTCACCCCCACGTCTAATCCTTAGGCCAGAACCAGCCTTGATCACCCCAAGTATACCTCCCACGCAAATCTCTCTGCTCACCACCCCAAAAGTCGGAATTTCCAGCTGACATCTCAGCACCACTCAGCCCTCCTGCCCCTCATTAGAGATCTACCTGGTCCCTGGCACTGGGCACCCAGACCGATGCCAACCCTCTCCCCCACCAGCAAACTGCACCGCCTTGAGTACCTGGACCTGTCCCACAATCGGCTGGCTACAGTGCCTACTGGCCTGCCCCGCACCCTGGCTGTGCTGCACCTGGGCCGAAACCATATCCAACAGGTGGAGGCAGCCCGGCTGCGTGGGGCAAGGGGACTGCGCTACCTGCTGCTTCAGCACAACCAGCTGGGGGCAGCTGGGCTGCCTGCAGGGGCGCTGCGGCCTCTGCGGGGCCTGCACACACTGCACGTCTATGGAAATAGACTGGAGCGCGTGCCCCTGGCACTGCCCCGCCGTCTGCAGTCCCTGATGCTTCCCCACAATCGTGTAGCCGCACTTGGAGCCCGTGACCTGGCTGCTATGCCAGGCCTGGCGGAGCTCAACCTGGCCTATAACCGCCTGGCCAGTGCCCATGTGCACCACCGAGCCTTCCGACCACTGCGTGCCCTACGCACCCTTGACCTTGCAGGCAATCAGCTGACTCGGGTGCCTACAGGTCTGCCTGCTGGCCTGCACACCCTGCGGCTGCAGCGCAACCAGCTGCGGACCCTAGAGCCTGAGCTGCTGGCTGGTTTGGACCAGCTGCGGGAGCTCAGCCTGGCACACAACCGACTCCGAGTAGGCGACATCGAGCCAGGCACCTGGCATGAGCTACGGGCCCTGCAGGTCAGGGGTGGGCTAGTTAGCCACACTGTCCCCATGGCCCCTCCATCCTCCTGCCTGACCAGTCCCTCCGCCACAAGGCCGTTGGAAAATACCACAAAAACAGCACCCCATGGGAGGCTAACTTTGGTGTGGATAAGTCAGATCCAGCCTCCAGGCCTCTGGCTGTGCTGTCCCTGCTGCCTGGTCCTCTGAGACACTCCCTCTACCTCCCCAGTAAACACTGGCCTCCAGCCCTTGACCACTATTGATTCCACAGTTTAAAGCATCTGTGGGTGTCGGGCACTGTTGTAAGCATTGGAGATGGCAATGGGCACAGCAATGCGGCTCCGGGCCCTGGCATAGACACCCTGGTTAGGGAGGAAGCAATCAATAACAATCATAAGTAAATGATGAGTGTTAGAAGGGCATGAGGCTATGGATTAAGTGCCATCTTCATGAATGACTAGTTGAATCAATGTCTCCCGCAGCTGGTGGGAACCTGCCTGTGCTCCTAGTGCCTATAGCAGGGGCTGCCTCAGAAAGGACTGTTTACCTCTGTCGAGGGGAGAAATTCAGCAGCCATAAAGAGGGTCCAAGGGAGGGGGAGGAGGGACTGGGCTGGGCACAGAGGGGAGAAGGGCTCAGAAGGCCGTGGTCTGGGGCTTAGCTGAGCAGCTGGCCCAGGAGCTGGAGCCACCATTGGGCCGGCTTTGTCTGCCCAGGTGCTGGATCTCAGCCACAACGACCTGTCCTTCGTGCCTCCCGACCTGCCCGAGGCCCTTGAGGAGCTACACCTGCAGAGCAACCGCATCAGCTATGTGGGCCCCGAAGCCTTCCTCAGCACGCCAAGCCTGCGTGTCCTCTTCCTCAGGTGTCCTCGGGGTGGCTGGGTGGGTCCAGATGGGCAGAGGAGGGCCATGGTGGGTTGTGGGGGACCCCAGGAAACTCAGGGGAAGTCAGGATGGTTGTGGCCCCTACCCTTGCACATGCCCTCATGCCTGCCTCTTGGTCCAGGGCTAATAAGCTTCACATGACCAGCATTGCGCCTGAGGCCTTCCTGGGCCTCCCACACCTGCGAGTGGTGGACACCACGGGTAACCCTGAGCAGGTCCTGATTCGGCTGCCACCTACAGCACCACATCGGCCACGGGCAGGGGGCCCTTGACCTGAGGGGCCTGTCAGAACGGTCCAGACTTTTGGGGTTCCACTGGGCCGTGGACTAAGGAGACAGTGCTTACCTGGGGCGTCAACACGTCTCCCCCAGGGCTCGAGGGCTCAGCCTGCCTGACCCATGCTGGCTGGGAGGCTGAAGCACCTCACACGCAGGGAAGGACTGAGGCATTCAGCTCGCACACCAGGTGCACGGACCATGCTGGCCCTGCTGGCCACCTTCCTACTTCCTGCCCAGATGGAGACAGTGACAATAAAGCCTAAGTCTTTTGAGTGCTCACCACCAATCAGGTGCCCTTCACTTTGTGGGACAGAAGGGGCTCTTGCCATCCTTACACACAGTGGGGAAAACTGAGGTTATAGGATGCTAAATGCATCAGGCAATTTGATCCAGGTTCCGTGGCTAGTGAGTGGCAGGGCTGCCTTTCGAGGCCAAGACACACGTGGGTCACCGAGCACCACCACATAGGGCCCAACCACACCTGTAAACCCAGACGTGCCCAAGGCCACCAGGCATATCTGGGTGTACACATGAAGATCGAATGCATGGTGGCGCAGGTGCCCTTGAGCAGGTCGCAGACTCCATGACCAATGCACGGCCTTCGCGGGCAAGAACACATCCTTTAGGGACACTCCCCCTCCCAGGCTGCTGCTCTCTTAGGCACCTCCCTTCATCACCCCAGGGTGGGGGAGGGGGAAGGGGACACCCAACCCAGCCACCCAGGGTGAGAAACGAAGATGGAGCACCAGATATGGCCCTGGCTGTTTATTCCATGTGTGAGCCCTGGGGCCGAGCTGGACCAGGGCACCCCCCTGGGGAACCAGCCAGGTTCTAGCTGGTCTCAGAGGCTTCTTTGGGGTGTGAATGGGCTTAGGGTTAAGGCTAGGGAGGGGCAGGATGTAAAGTGCTTGCAGGGGCTCTCAGGGCTTGGTCCTGGCCGCTTTCCCACCTCTGGAACAGGCCAGGGGCACAGGCTGGCTGGCGGGCACCATCCCCAGTGCCCCCTGCCGGGGCTGGGTGGGCCCAGCAGGGGACGAGTCCATCCAGAGCTGATTGTCCGCTGATTGTCTGCTTGTCTGGTCTGAGGCCGTGGCAGTGTCAGCTCCTCCCAGCACCGGGGCCTCAAGCCTGCTCCCCCATCTCCAGGGGCTGCCAGCACCATCAGCCCCTCACCTGCGGAGCCGTTGCAGCTGCAGGAGAGAACGCTGTGGTGAGTGGGGGCCACAGTCACAGCTGCTCACCCCCCTCCCCAACATCTGAGCTGCTCACCTCATTCTCAACCAGGTTCCGCCTGTAGAGTGCCTCCTTTGCGGGTTCCTGGGGACCCAATGGGAGGTCAGTGGGAAGCCCCTGGCAGCCCCAGTCCCCCTGTGCCCACCCGAACCCCAGCCAGCTCACCCTGCTGCCTTCACTGCCGAGGCGGCGGGCAGCCTCTGTATAGAATTGCAGCTGACGTTCCAGATGGGCCATGTATTCTGAGAGTGGGACAGGGTCAAAATGGGGCCACTGCCACTGCACCTCACCCGAGTGCCTGTCCCCAAGCCCCTCCCCTGAGTGCCTGTCCCCAAGCCCCTACCCCGCCGGATGGCTGGGCCCCCCTGCTCCAGCTGTGCTCTCTGCCACTGGCTGCGATGCATGATATCCTGGTACTGCTGGACAACCTCTGGGGGCACTGGCCGCCGTGCCTGCCTGAAGGCCAGGATCTACAGGGTACAGAGAGGGCTGTGAGAGCCCTGTCTGAGCCTGCAAGACCCCCCAATCCTGCCCCACCAAGCCCAGTGGATGGAAACCCACCTTCCGCTCCAGACGCTCCTGGTCAAAGGCCAGCACGCTGAGACTATGCAGGGGCCGGCTGGATCTATGGAGTGGGGAGAGGGATGAGGATCTGTGAGGATCTTGATCCTTGAACCCATTCATTTGACATGCTGGGCATTGGGGAACAGGCAGAGACAAGCCAGGCCAATAAGTGTTGCTGCTAAGCCCACAGCCTAGAGGTGACAATGTACGTCTAGGCAACTGCACTGTACACCCAAGCAACTGCAATGCCAAGCAGTCAAGGAAAGCTTCCTAGAGGAGGCAACAGGCAATTTGAGACCCACAGGAATCAGTTAGGCAGAGGAGCCAGGAACAAGTGTCTGGGTAAAAGTAGTCAGGGCACTGTAACATAGAAGCTCAGAGGAAAAACTAGGTGTGGCCATGAACCAACAGGAGGGAATGGGGGGAGAGATGGTTGGATATACTGACAATAGATCAAAAAAGGTCTTAAAGATTAAGCTGAAGAGTTTAAACATGATTCTCCAGACAAAAGGGAGCCAGGAAAGGCTTTAAAGTGGGGAAGAGACACATTAAAATCTGTGCCTCATGAGGTACTGTCCAGGAAGGGCTGAGATGGGAAGGGGGCGGTTCTTTCCAGCATGGCCCGGCCCAACCACCGACCTGTTTGCTGGCTCCCTCACAGGGGCAGGAATGGAAGGGGCCTTCCCTTTGGGTCCAGCAACCTGCTGCAGAGGACAAAACCAGTCTTGTGAGTCTCGGCTCCCCTTGAACCAAGCCTCCCTCCCTGGTTACTGCTGGGTGGGGTCTCACTGTGGGCACAGCTGCTGGCACAGGATCGATGACCAGCCACCTCTCAGTTATTGTCTCCAACTGCTGGGCTGTCAGTGGCTCTCGAATCCGGACCATGACCTCCAGCCGCCCTCCAGTGGGCCGGCGACCATCCAGGACCTGGGTTGGAGTCAGAAGAGGATATTGGGAAACAGGCAGCAACTGGAGTCTCAGGACTGGGGTCAGGAACAACCAAGGTGATTTACAAAACATGGGCCCATGAGTATGACTGAGATGCCAACTGGTCATAGTGGAACAGGGCACAGGGGTATTTAGGGCTGGAAGTAAGGAGGTCTTGGACTCCCAGGGGAGAGGCTGGGTCAGCAGAGAGGACCCTTGGGAAGCTCAGGGCAGGGAGCATTTGAGTGATATCAACGAGTGACACAGCCATACTAGAACATTCAAATTCACGTCCACCTCTTACCTCAAGGATCTCCCGGACCTCACATGCCGTCTCCAGGGCATCCAGCTTCAGCTGGGCTGTACCCAGAACCCGGTCGGTCTTGAACAGCCCCCTGTGTATGTGAGGGGAACAGGGTGGTTGGCTCAGGGACACCTCCCCGCCCCCAGAGTCCGTGCAGTGCCTGGCCCCCAGCTCACCCCTTATGGACCACTTCGAACTTGATGCCTTTGGTCTGTATTGCCCTTCGGAAGCCTCGGTGACTACGGTTGATGCAGAGTTTGAACTGCTCCTTGAACTCTGCCCAGGGAAGGAGAGAGGAGTTAGGCTCACGTTCTTGCTGCAGGGGGTGGGGCTCCCCGTTGCTCGTATCTCACCAGGGGAGTCTGTGTTCTTGATCACACTGGTCTTGTCTTTCTGAGCTTCTTCCTGGGACCAGACAGGAGGCAGGAAGGCTCAGGGGCTGGGGCCTGGCCTGGGACCCGTGCTCAACCCACTTCCCATCCTGATGGGGCTTAAGCCCATATTTCTTTGGCTCTCTACATACCACATTGGGATAGGGGAAATCGAACCGAACGAAGACATCCAGATCGCCAGGGGAGAGCCCTGTGGGCAAAGAAGGGTCACGGCTGGGCAGAGAGATGGTGCCCACGGCCCTGACCCCTGCATGATGCTCCCTCACCTGGAGGTGTGGGCAGGCTGATGCCCTTCACGATGAACAGGAGCATGTCATTGCTGCTGAGGTCCGGGAAGATCCTTCCGGGAGGACAGGCGGGGAGACAGAGGCACCTCAGCCCTACTGCCTGCCCTTCTTTTCCTCCGGTGGGGGCAGGGGACAAGCCCCACCCTGGCCTTTGGGGGTGTCTCAGATCCTGGGCTCCAGTTTTAAAATTAGACAAACTTGAGTTCTCTGTCCAGTTCTGCCAATGACTAACTTTTGGGTCCTTTCTTTAGTTTGCATGTCTTTATTTAGTACCAACTTTGCACCAGCCAGTGCCCTAGCTGCTGTGGGGCCTTCTCTTCATTTGACATTACCTGAGTACCTACTATGTGCCAGCCAGTTGCCTCGTGGTTGGGGAAACTTTCTTTCACTTAGCAATATTTTTGGAGCCCCTACTGTGTGCCAGCCTGTGTCCTCATTGCTGGGGATACAGAAGTAAATGAGAGAGACCTGTCTCTGTGCTCAAGGAGCCTGAGCTGGCTGAGTGGGAAGATGACCAATGACTATATAAATAAAGAAACAAAGCAACTCTGAAAGAATTAAAACAGGGGAAAGATGGAAGTGTGCTCTGGAGGGGCTGCTTTCTACAGGGTGATCGGTGAGGGCCAACATTATTAGCGATGCTGGGTGTCAAGCAGGGCGTGCAATGTGGAGGCCTGGGGAAGAGGGTCTGGGCAGGGTAAACCACAGGGGTGGAGGCCCTGAGTGGGAACATGCTTGGTATATTTGAGGGACCAAAAAGAGGTCTGTGTGGCAGGAAAGGAGCCAACTGGGGCCAACAGGCAGAGAGGAAATGATGGGGAGCCGGGGATGCAGAAATAGCAAATGGTGTAGGTTTTCCTAGGTGGTTATCCTAGGTTATCCCAGTGGCTGCATCTAACCTCATCTGCAAGTGGGAAAAAATGATTCCAACCATCCAGGGTGTGGGAACACTTAACTGGAGCAGGACCAACAACCGCCATCCCGAGGGTTCACACAGGCTCCCAGGACAGGGCTCACTTCTGCACTCACTACATCTTCCCCGTTTCCAAATGTGTCACTGCCAACACCCCCTCACCTGCTGTCCTTCACTTGTACCTCATGCCTGCCTTAGGACCCTTACATGTGCTGTGCTCCCACCACCCGTCAGCTTCTGGGGAGGGAAAATCCCTCCTCAAATGGGCATCTGAGCCAGGGGCCTTTGGGAGCCTTACTTGATGACACTGAAGGTTCTCTGCTCAAAGCGGGCAGTGGGTGTGGGAAGACCCCGGGCGAAGGCCTGCTTCAGGG